AGAAGAATTACCCCACTCATGACTTGGAGTTGGCCGCTGTGGTTTTCGCTTTGAAGATTTGGAGGCACTACTTGTATGGTGCACAATTTCAAGTTTATAGTGATCATAAGAGTTTGAAATACCTCTTTGATCAGAAAGAGCTGAATATGAGGCAAAGGAGATGGATGAAGTTCCTTAAGGATTATGATTCTGATCTATTGTACCATCCTGGGAAATCTAATGTGGTAGCTAATGCGTTGAGCAGAAAGACAATGCACATGTCTTCATTAATGATTAGAGAGTTGGAGTTAGTTGAGGGGTTTAGAGATTTGAAGTTATAGGTTGGATTAAAGCCTGACAGCATCAGATGCAGTAGATTGGTGGTGTCTAGTAGATTATTAGGGCGTATCAAAGAAGGGCAATTATTAGACACCGAGCTTCAGAAGTTAGTAGCCTTAATTGGTACTGAACAAGGAAAGGACTTAAATACAGGGACGGATGGACTCTTACGGTTCAGAGGTAGGACGTGTTTTTCTAATGATAATTAAAGAGGTTGATACTTGAGGAAGGACACCAAAATCGTTTTAGCATGCATCCAAGCATGACTAAGATGTACCAAGACCTCAAGAAGTCCTTCTGCTGGTCGAGTATGGAGAGAGACGTATCCTAGTTTGTCGCTTCTTGTCTAAATCGCCAAAAGGCTAAAGTTGAGCATCAGAGACCGGGAGGATTATTGCAGCAGTTAGAGATTCCGGAGTGGAAGTGGGATAGCATAGACATGGACTTTGTTACCCATTTACCAACCCAGTTACCATGCACAGTTAGAGGTCATGATGCTATCTGGGTAATTATAGACAGATTGACCAAGAGTGCTCATTTCTTGGCAATCAATTTAAGGATGTCCATGGCGAAGCTGACACAACTTTATATCTAGGAGATCGTGAGACTACACGGCGTCCCCTCTAGAATCATATCCGATAGAAATTCGCGCTTCACTTTTAGATTCTGGCAGACGCTTCAGAGTGAGATGGGCAGCAGATTGTAGATGAGCTCAGCTTACCATCCCTAGACAAATGGTCAGTCAGAGAGGACGATCTAGTCACTAGAGGACTTGCTGAGGACGTGTGTCTTGGATAACTTGGGCGCCTAGGATGAGGTATTGTCGTTGGTGGAGTTCACCTACAACAACAGTTACCAGGCAAGTATATGTATGACGTCGTTCGAAGCACTATATGGAAGACGCTGCAAAACACCATTGTGTTGGTTTCAGGATGGTGAGGCAGTGTTGACTGGGCCAGAGCTTGTGCAGCAAACTATGGAGAAGGTGAAGCTCATACAGGAGAGGATGCGGGCATCTTAGAGTAGGCAAAAGTCCTATGCTGATCGGAAGCGTAGACCGCTAGAGTTTACAGTTGTGGACCATGTGTTCCTTCAAGTGACCCCTATTACTGGTGTAGGAAGGGTCATTCATGCTAGGAAACTATCTCCTAGGTATCTTGGCCCTTACTAGATTCTGCGGCGCATCGGACCAGTGGCTTATGAGATAGCCATGCCACCCTGGCTGGCTAATCTTCATCTAGTCTTTCACGTCTCACAACTTATGAAGTATGTACAAAATTCATCTCATGTACTAGAAGCTGAGGACGTGCATATTCGAGAAGATCTATCTATGGAGGTGCAGTCGGTTAGAATAGAGGGGAGCCATAACAAGAAGCTTAGAGGCAAAACCATCAGCCTTGTCAAAGTCATCTGGGATAGTAGAACGGGTGACTCTACCTGGGAGTTAGAGGAAGAGATGTGGGAGTCTTATCCTCAACTATTCACTGGTAAGTCTAATTTTCGAGGACGAAAATTTTTGATGTGTGAGAGAATGTAAGGGCCTGAAAAATATGGGGCTTTTGGGCCTTATGTTGAGGCAGCCATGCCCGTAAAACTAAGGACACCATGACCTTAGAAGGGACTTTTCCCAATCTGAGTTCATTAGCCAACTTCTCCTTCTCTCTCTAAACTCTGTCTTCTTCTTCTTGCTCTGCCTTCTCTCTACCCATTCACAAATTACAATCGTTGCATTGCCAAATAGGTGGTATCCTTTCGTTCACGGAGTTGAGAGCTTCCCATCCATCCGATTAGTTTCCGTTTTGGACAGGTAAGTCAGTTTCTCCATCTCTCTTGAACCTAGGGCATGCAACTTTACTGGTTGCATGCAGCTGGTAGTCTTCCCCTTTTAATTCTCTGCCTATTATAGCTCTAAGAGCTGTTTCTGTCTACACTTTAGTGGATTGTAGGGTCTTACTCTGTGCTAACTGTGTAAGACACTATTGGGGTTTTGTTACTATTCTAAATAGTATTGTGCTTATAACCACCAAGGTAAGGGGACCTAGTTATAACTTTTAAATTTTGTTTTGGTTGAATATGTTTTATAAATATGTATGCATGTTGAATTCTGAATTGGTGTGATGCTTGGACTGCATTCTTGATTTTAATCATTTGGGCGTGATGAAACTGTGATGGATGGTGTGTGGGTGAACTTAGTTACTGTTAATTGAGTTTGTATGAAGTGTTTCTGGGTAGGATTTCGGTTGTAGTAATATTTAGATAGATANGTTCTTAGATAAATTTGTGGTTGTCTTCATAGATGACATACTAGTTTACTCTAAGACTCGGGAAGAGCACGAAGATCACCTTAGGACAATGCTTGGAGTATTGAGAGAGAGGAAGCTTTATGCGAAGCTGTCTAAGTGTGAGTTCTGGATGAAAGAGGTTCATTTTCTAGGGCATGTCCTTTCAGCTGGCGAGGTTGTTGTGGATCCAGCTAAGGTACAAGCAGTGCTTCAGTGGGAGAGGCCAAAGACTGTTACGGAGGTCAGGAGCTTTGTGGGTTTGGCGGGCTATTATCGCCACTTTATTGAGAACTTTGCAAGGATTGTAATGCCGTTGACACAGTTGACTAGGAAAGATCAACCTTTTGCTTGGACTGACAAGTGTGAAGTTAGCTTTCAAGATCTAATGCAAAGGTTGACTAGCGCTCCAGTATTGGCCATTCCTGACACAGGTAAACCTTTTCAGGTTTTCTGTGATGCTTCCTATCAAGGGCTGGGGTGTGTATTGATGCAAGAGAAGAGAGTGGTCGCTTATGCCTCAAGACAACTCAAGGTACATGAGAAGAATTACCCCACTCATGACTTGGAGTTGGCCGCTGTGGTTTTCGCTTTGAAGATTTGGAGGCACTACTTGTATGGTGCACAATTTCAAGTTTATAGTGATCATAAGAGTTTGAAATACCTCTTTGATCAGAAAGAGCTTAACATGAGGCAAAGGAGATGGATGAAGTTCCTTAAGGATTATGATTCTGATCTATTGTACCATCCTGGGAAATCTAATGTGGTAGCTAATGCGTTGAGCAGAAAGACAATGCACATGTCTTCATTAATGATTAGAGAGTTGGAGTTAGTTGAGGGGTTTAGAGATTTGAAGTTATAGGTTGGATTAAAGCCTGACAGCATCAGATGCAGTAGATTGGTGGTGTCTAGTAGATTATTAGGGCGTATCAAAGAAGGGCAATTATTAGACACCGAGCTTCAGAAGTTAGTAGCCTTAATTGGTACTGAACAAGGAAAGGACTTAAATACAGGGACGGATGGACTCTTACGGTTCAGAGGTAGGACGTGTTTTTCTAATGATAATTAAAGAGGTTGATACTTGAGGAAGGACACCAAAATCGTTTTAGCATGCATCCAAGCATGACTAAGATGTACCAAGACCTCAAGAAGTCCTTCTGCTGGTCGAGTATGGAGAGAGACGTATCCTAGTTTGTCGCTTCTTGTCTAAATCGCCAAAAGGCTAAAGTTGAGCATCAGAGACCGGGAGGATTATTGCAGCAGTTAGAGATTCCGGAGTGGAAGTGGGATAGCATAGACATGGACTTTGTTACCCATTTACCAACCCAGTTACCATGCACAGTTAGAGGTCATGATGCTATCTGGGTAATTATAGACAGATTGACCAAGAGTGCTCATTTCTTGGCAATCAATTTAAGGATGTCCAT